TAGATAGATAGATAGATAGATAGATAGATAGATAGATAGATAGATAGATAGATAGATAGATAGATAGATAGATAGATAGATAGATAGATAGAGTCTGAAAACAATAGCTCACACTTACCTATCCACGCATTGTGCAGCAGTCAGGACCCAGCCACTGCTGACGAGGGTGCCGCCACAGCGCCACCTGACGCTGCGGTCAGCTGTCGTCATATTGACGTGGACCATCCACGGCCAGTGGCCCTTTTCAGCGTTCTCTCCGCCGATGATGGAGCTCCTCACCTCAGCTCCCAGAACATCTGCAACACGATAACGAAACATGATAAAAGTACATGTGTAGTACAGGTGGTTCAAGAATAGAAATATGACCTTGCATTGACACAAGAAAAGTTTGAAATATGCTACTCTGATGTTTGTCTGATACATATAAGTATTCAACCAGGAGCCAGTGAGCACACTGATGGGAAAAAGAACACACAGCTTGTCTAGCTCCATCCAAACATCATGAAATGCATTCAGATTACACACTAAATATGGAAACACAATCCACTAGTGTCATCATAAAAAATAACCTTTTTTTGCCATGTTTAAAAAAAAAAAAAAACATGTTCAAAGTAAAGAATGAATGAATAAAACTCCTGACTTTGATACCACATGTTATAATAAAACCCACATCACATAGATTATACTACTAAGGCTCGGCAAATAGAAACAGAAAATAATGTTCGACAACGTGCTATTTGTCTTCCTCACCCTCAAAGTTGTGGATCAGCACCAGCACACACAGCAGTTTGCAGAAAGTCATGGCTGCGATGGAGCTCAGAGTCTCTGTGGCTCTGCAGGCTGCGAAGGAACAACTGCTGCTTTATAGACACAGCAGGAGAGATGAAACTCTTATCAGTACGATCAGCCCTCCCTTTACTGCTTAAACCACGCTTCGAAAAGTAAATTTACCCGAGTACTGTGAAAAACAATTTAAAGATTTGCTTGAATATTGCTGCAACGTTTCTTAGAATGATTATAGATTTAGTTTGTCCCTATCTGATGTGCTTTGATGACAAACAATTTGAATGTCAGGGGTTAACGGTCATATCTGAACCAATTTGTGTGTGTTATCTCCTCAACATTCACCCCTGTTTTACCAAAAAGACTAAAAGAATTTCATTCATTGCATTCTTAAAGTGTGTGACACGAAGCGATTCAAATAGTATGTGCCTCTGTAGATAACATGCATACTCTTATTGCAAAGTAAGCCACTATTGTTGCTGACTCTTTTGTGCTGTGGGATTGGTTTCTGAAAATGTTTTACATTCTTTGAATAGTGAGGCTTTGTGTTTTAAAATGACTTCTCAGAGGCTGTTTGTTTGCATTGTGCACTTTATTTTTTACAAAATAAATTTTGCTTTAATTGTAGTGTTTGTTTGTTTTTTTAATGGTGTAATATTTCTACTTTTCCCCAAGCAATCCAGCCCACCAGTGCTTGATTGCTAAATGCAGACAGCTAAATAGCAGACAGTTTTTATAGGGGTGGCCAGGCTCAGGTCATTGCTGAACTTTAATCAAATCAAATCAAATCAAATCAAATCAAATCAAATCAAATCAAATCAAATCAAACTTTATTTATATAGCATTTCTCATACACTAGAGCAACACAAAATTCTTTACAGCATTTTAAAACATTGTCAAATAAGAAAAAAAACACACACATACACAAAAAATCCCCAAGAAAACCCGTCCCTCCTACTCTCCATGTATACACATACAGCTACAAATGCACTCACACACACATGCACACACACTCTCACCATTACTTAACTTGTAAGTGGCACAATGCTTCTTTAATTATTTTTTTGTCCAAACAAACAGTTATTTTTGTTGCTTGTAGATCATTACTTATGCAGCCAAGGCTGCCACGTAGAAGTTCATGAGAACTAATAAACAATATAATTAGGTTTTTTGTTTCACTTTAATACGATCTGAAGCAGTTGCTTGATGAAGCTCATAAAATACTTACAATTCAAGTTAAATTAGACCAGTACATGGGAGTGAATTGCTGTATGTCAGAAGCTCACCTAGTAGAGACATCAAACTGCCTCAGCTCAGCGTTTAGTTTCCTTTATTTTGGCTGCAGGTTTGGGGTCAGTATTACATTGTTGGGCTTTTTGTAAAACTTGTTTCCAGACTCTTTAAAGTCGGTGTCATCTCTACAATCTGTAAGAGTCTGTGCAAGAAATTCAACGAAATCCACAGCTGAATCTGAAACATACACCAGATGCATTTTTTATACCATCCGTGCACTTTTTAATGACAATAATACAAAATCTCTGAATTGAGAAGAGCATCCATGAAAGAGTTCTCTAAGAAAAATACTACATGTGACTCCACTTCGATATGTAACCCTCCGTTGGGCCTCATTGTTGATTGTGTGGGATGGACAGACGCTTTCCTGCCACTCGGGGCCGCTTTTTACCTCTGCCCCTGCAGTTTTCTGCTCTGTGTGTTTTAATTTGCTTTATTTAAACTTAAGTTTTTTGTTTGTTTTTCCTTTTAACAGTGGGATATTGCAACTTTTACCTAGAAAAAACAGTCACACAGTCTGCAGTTTAAGACCCAGAAAGATGTCGTTAATAAAATCAGCAGCAGCAGCAGCAACAACAACAACAACAACAACAATAACAACAACAATAAGGAAATCAGGTCAGCTGATTCTGTGCTCTCTTTTAAGTCACTTCTTAAAACACATTTTTATTGGAGAGCTTTTCCTGATTTTATTTAAGTGTTATGTTTTATAGCTTTATTTGTGTGCTTTCTACTTTTATCAATGATTCTGTGTGCTTATTGTGCTTTAGTTTTTAATGTATTTTTATTTAAAAGTACTGTAACATTTGTTTTTAAAAGTGCTCTATAAATAAAGTTATTGTTATTGTTATTATTATTATTATTATTATTATTATTATTATTATTATTATTATTATAAGAAGAAGAAGAAGAAGAAGAAGAACGTAAATTTTGTACATCGGCGGAACGGAAACGTCTTCCGGGTTTTGTTTCCGCGGGGCGTCATTAGAGTGAAACACCGCGATCATGTGACGTCGGTAAAGTTTACAATTATGATGCGAAATACGAGTTAAACCGGAAAAAAAACAGCTCGTTTTTGTCGAGGAATTTACCGTCAGTGTTCGTTGAGCTTAATATTATTTAAATGCAGGATGTGTTCCGTGTCTTTGGGCAGTTTTTAGCGTTTGTTGCTTTTATTTCTTTTCGCCTGAACCGGTGTAAATAAACATGGAGCCGACAGACAGCGACAACACAGACCGTCTCCAACTCCCAGACGCTGCTGGTGGGTCTGTCAGCTGTCGGCAGTTTGTCTCACCGCACTAATGAATGTGAAAGTTCACACTAAATGTCTTTTTATCTGGTATTTACAGGTCGTTGCGCAGAACGGCGCAACTGGGCTGGATTCTGGTGAGTGACCTGTCTGTTAAACAAGCTGGAAGTTTAATTTAAAGACACACTGACGAGTAAAATGTTTGTTATTTCAACTCAAGTATATAATTTACTATATATTTAGGTAAATAAGACGAATAAATCCCGTGTCACTCCCAGTGTAGAGTGCTAGTTAAAGAAATGCTGACTGTGAAACTGAAGCTTCCTCATTGTGCTGATCTTCATATTTACACTAAAGAAATGGAAAGATCTTTGCATTCACACAGAAATAAGTACAAATAAGTGTTGTCTTCCTCAGAACAGTTGCACAAGTATTCAACTTTAAATTGTTATGATTGGAAATAGATTTTTAACAATATATTGGGGGAGGGAAACTACCAATTCTGGGGTTTTTTTTGTTGTTGTTGTTTTTTTTTTTTACAAAATAATAGTTTGTGCAATGTAGTGAACATGCTAATCATATATCCATCCATCCATCCATCCATCCATTTTCTATACACCGCTTCATCCTCATTAGGGTCGCGGGGGGGCTGGAGCCTATCCCAGCCGACTTAGGGTGAAGGCAGGGGGCACCCTGGACAGGTCACCAGTCTGTCGCAGGGCTACACTTAGAGACAGACAACCAAGCACACTCACATTCACACCTACGGACAATTTAGAATCACCAATTAACCTCAACATGTTTTTGGACTGTGTGGGAGGAAGCCGGAGAACCCGGAGAGAACCCACGCTGCACGGGGAGAACATGCAAACTCCACGCAGAAAGATTCCGGTGTCCCCACCGGGACGCGAACCGGCAACCTTTTTGCTGCGAGGCAACAGTGCTACCAACTGCACCACCTTGCAGCGCTAATCATATAAGATAGACAAAAATATGAGAGATGGAGACTCTGTAATCTGCAGCCATTGCTCACATATGGCTCTGACCAACCAGAGAATATTTACCCTGAGTTTGTAGCAACTAAAACTTTCTTTAAAATTTTTTATTAGTGTCACTGGGGGCTGCAAAGTTGAACAGTGGTTAGCACCGTTGCCTCACAGCAAGAAGGTTGCTGGTTCGCGTTCCGGTGAGGACACCCAGGATCTTTCTGTGTGAAGTTTGCATGTTCTCCCCGTGCAGCGTGGGTTCTCTCCGGGTTCTCCGGCTTCCTCCCGCAGTCCAAAAACATGTTGAGGTTAATTGGTGATTCTAAATTGTCCATAGGTGTGAATGTGAGTGTGCTTGGTTGTCTGTCTCTAAGTGTGGCCCTGTGATAGACTGGTGACCTGTCCAGGTGTCCCCTACCTTCACCCTGAGTCAGCTGGGATAGACTCCAGTGACACCAGTCCTGGAACTTTTCTGACACACCTCGTATATTATAATGATTCAAATTGAAATTGTAATTCTATTATAAACTCTATCAAAAATTACTTTTGCAACTGTTGCTGATATTAGCGGAAGGTTGTACAACAAAACTTATACTATCTGTGAGTTCTCATGATCTTTTACTTGCCAAATGTGCCTGCATAAGCAAATAATAACAGTGTGTGACCTAAGTATGGGGGACAGGTGATAAAGATATGTGACGCTTGCACACAAGTTCATTTAAATTATCATAGCTTTCTGCAGCACATGATTAAGATCCACAGTTCGTTGGCCGTTATACTAAAGAGAAACCATGTGGTCGGTGGTTTTGTTATCAGCTGTTGATGCATCTGCTTTTCTTGTGTTATCAACTCCTCTGAATGCTCCCGCAGGCTTCTCGGGTTGTGCAACAACTTTGCCTATGTGGTTATGCTGAGTGCCGCCCATGACATCCTCAAGAAACAAGAGTCAGAGAACGCCACAGCGTCTGTAAGACAACGAATGTGCACTTAAATTTGATTCGTTAACCTTTCTGTTTGAAAAGACGCCCGTTTATGTGTGAAATGTTCGGCTTCTCAGACCTTTTCTCCTTTTGATCGTAGAGTTCAGTCACGCTGACTGTGGACTTCCAAGCCGGGAACAGCAGCAACAGCAGCCGCTATGACTGCAACCCTGTCTCTACTGCGGTAAATTAAAGACACAAACTAGTCTGTATGTTGACTGGGAATTGGCAGGGTGTTCCAGTGGATTTAAGTGTCAGAATATGTTTTAAACCCTTATTTTGTAGTGGTGACTTTCAAACATGAAGCAAAAATTGATCTTGGTGCATTTGTACTGATATGTTAATAGGCCACGGAATTAAATGTAGAAGAATGAAAATGTCACAGTGCTAATGAGGCCACATGGCAAAGTAAAGCTTCAACATAAACATATTTAATCCACAGAATTCACAGGTTAGAAGGTTAGGACAATTACAGTCTGTCTTTGAGCTTAGAATTAGATTTTGTTTCACGAACCAGTAAAAAAAGAGCACCTGTGACAGAGTGAAAACTACTTCCTAAGACACACAACTTGTCAGGCCTTCAGACATTTAAACTGCCTCATCTTATTTGGTGTATAAACAGTCTTTAAAATGGAAGATTGTCCTATATTGTAAGAGATCTCACACTTCCCTTCGCAGGCTGTGCTGTTGGCCGACATCCTTCCAACTCTCGTCATCAAGTTGTTTGCTCCTTTTGTGATCCACAAACTGCCCTATGGGTAAGACCGTGATTAGTTCATCTAACCCTGTTTACTTATTTCTCTCACAGCTGCATTCTTTCCTGCTGAGGTGCTTCACATGTCCGTGTGAACAGCCTAGCTCAGTGCATTACCAACAAAAGCGTTGGCTCTCACAAATTACAAAAACTGTGACGCCTCCGTGTTAGCGACAACCGTGCTGTTATGTTTTTAGGTTGTCCATCTGTCCCATTTGTTTTGGACATGATATCTTTTGAACGCCTTGAGGGATTTTCTTCTAATTCAACACAAACGCTCACTGAGATGCAGCGATAAACTGATTCCAATTTGGTGGTCAGAGGACACGTGGTTTTGGTAATAACTCAAGAATTCATACTCTAACTACGACGTAATTTCACACCGATTTCTAATAGGATGAAATGATGACATTTTTATACCCAAAAAGTCAACCTCACAGTGGGGCCGTGCATTTTACTCCTAGGCCTTCAGTGGTGTCCTACCTGAATCAAACCACCTGTTCACACCGTCATTATGACACCACGGTTATAGAAACCATCAGTATTATGCAGAAAGGCAGCATAACAGGACGACAGGTATCTCATGTGGCAAGAATGAATGCCGTCACTAAAGCAAGAAACCCAATTAAAACAATTCAACAAGTCTCCATTAACTGCAGCCACACATCACATCTAACAGGAGCATCAATATCAGCCCAATACAATGACAAAAATATATATTTTACTCCCCAAAACTTGTGACTATTTGAACACAAACTCCATCCTCCTTACTGTCCTCACCAAGAGTTCAATCACTCTGTTGAGCAGCCAATCCTGTAAGTCCTGTTCTGTCGCCATGGAGGCTGATGCTGAAAGTCGGATCTGTCTGTTTGTGTTTCTGACATAAGTTTTAATTCGCTTTTGGACTGAGAATGTCCGCTTGCTTAACTTAAAAAAAACAACAACAACAAAACAATACTTTTACGATAAAGTTTTAGCTTGTGCAGGTCGCTGCAGACAGGAATAACTAGCTTTGGCTAAGCTCTCGGACCGTCCAATCAGAGGACGTGAAAGTGCTGATGTCATTGTGGGCCAGCCAGCTAGCTTGCCCTGGGACCACCAACTCCAAATCTGATTGGTTAAAGCAACAGTTTCATTGCCTGCGCTGTTGATTCTGAAGGCCTCAGGGCAGATTTCTGTGACCCCGGCAACACATGATGGCTGAAATATGATTGGATAAAAGCTCTAATATAAACATACACTGCTGGAAGCACCACAGCCCAGAGACACACTATGAAATGAAGAGAATAGACTGATAAAGTTAAAAGATTAATGGGAAAGTATTACAATGTAAATCAGTGATTCTGATGGAGTTTAGGCCAGCAGAGAAGGCCTTGCTGGTCCATAGCTCATAAATAGGAAGGAACCGGGAGATTCTGACCGTATTTCACGTGTTTTTTTGGTCAGATGCTGGTTTGACGACACTCATATGAGGTTGGCACGTAATACATTTACTGACAGTCTTCACTAAATACAGACACGTGACAGTTTAAAGGAAAAGCCTTCATACCTGACCCCTACAGTGAGGGGATCTGGTGGCTCTGCTGTGTTGTGGGGGCATTTTACTGACATAGTTTGGTTCCACTTGTCCTTGAAGAGGAAAGGCTCACTGCAAATCAGTACGAAGTTGTTCTTAGTCATGAAACATTTCTATCCCGACGGTAGTGGTCTCTTTCATATTGAAAATGCCCCGTCCATAAGACATGAGGGTTCGCTGAATGGTTTGATAAGTATGAACATGATGCGAGTCACATGCCGTGGCCTTCACAGTCACCAGATCTGAACCCAAATGAACACCGATGAGCGATTTGGACCGACATGTTCTCTATGATTACTATCAAAACATCAAGTGAGCGAGTCTCTTTTGGACGAATAATGTTTTTTACTTTAGTTTGTCACCAATCTCCATCATGAGAATAAATGGTTTGACTGGTTTTTGATAGTTCAGGCTGGCTATTAATTTAAAACTGGCCATTTTTTCATTCTATTTTCAAAGTGAAACAAACCAGTTGCTGAGAGCGAGAACATCACTTCATGTGGCTCGACTAATTCCTGTTTTTCATTCCAGCTTCCGAGTGCTGTTCTGTGTCATCATGGCAGCAACAAGTTTCCTCCTCGTGTCCTTCTCCTCGGCTGTGTGGATGAGTATTCTCGGTAAAAACCCGCCATTTCTAATCCTTGAATCTATTATCGTTATTAGTGATCGAAGGGACTCTGGTCCAGCATTAAGATCGTGGATTAGATGCAGCTTGTTTTTGCTGCGGTTTCATTTCCCGTTGTCTTATCGATTGTGAGCAGCTGCGGTCGTTTCACAGGAACACAACAGTTTTATCATAAGCTGCTGCTGTAAAATGTTTACTGCCACGCTGACGCTGATCAGTGACTTGATATTCAAATTTGAACATTTTAATATCTATATATATTTTTTAACCATATGCTTCGCTCTAACAGCATGCATCAAAGGACTATAAGGACTGTGGTCCTGTTTCTCCCAGTCCTTGTGTGTGTGTCATTTAGTAATTAGGATAACTTGATAATGCTGCTGCACACAAAATATAAACCGAAATAGTAAATGCCTCGAGTCTCTTGGCATCGCTACAAGATGGGGCCGTTAAATGACCTTGGTGTCACCTTAAGGCTCCTGTTGTATCATTTTAAAGTGTTTTAGTAAAAAAACTACAGGGACTGGGTCAGAAATCTCTCCTAATTTACACTATATGTGCTGTCAGCAGTTTTATTTGCAGTAGTCTTAATTTCTGCTTTATACAGTGCAACTAAATTTCCCCACTGTGAGATTAAAAAAAGCACCATCTGCGACTTCCACTTCACTTTCTGCTAAAAACTCCACATTGCTAATCGTTGCATTTTAAAGATGCCACAATGACGGCTGTGAAACATTTCACCAGACAGTGACGACACAAAGCGATCATGTGCGTCTGAATTCTGAGCGTGGAGCTCGTGATGGAGTTAAAACCGTTACTCTGAGCTGCGAATAAGTTGCCGAGGGAGCGATTTTGAAAACGACTGAGCATTTCAGCGAAAAAAAACCAGAGGTGTAGGATGTGCATTTTGCATTGATTGGCAAACGTTTACCACTTCATGACATTAAGATTAATAATGTAGGTACAGTCGTCCTCCAATGTATTCATCCCCTCCCATTAAAGAAGGAAAAAACAGTTGTCCCTGAAATAAGTTGGAATTGACAAAAGTAATAATAAATAAAAATGGAATGAAAATCATGACATTGCTTTTGAAGTGTGGTTCAATTCAAAAAAAGCATGATGGGACCCGTAAACTAATATTTTGTTGAACAATCACTGCAATCAAGTGTTTTCTGTAACTCTCAGTCAGACTTCTGCACCTGTTGACAGCTATTTGGATTTTGTTGCACTGCTCATCAGCAAAGTGCTCCAACTAGTCCGGGACAGTTTTTTTTTTTTTTTTTTTCTCCAACTAGTCCGGGACAGTTTTTTTTTTTTTTTTTTAATTATTCTTTTCAACCACAATTCAAAAGCAACACCTTATTTCACTAAAGTATAATTTAGCAAATTTTTATTTATTATTACTTCTTTCGGTTTCGAGTTATTTGAGTGACTATTGTGAATTTTGCCTTTTCTTTAATGGAAGGATGTGAATACATTTGAGGACGACTGTATTGTTAAACTTAATGAAATGAAAAATGAAATGAAAAATACTTTATTCATCCCAGAAGGGAAATTCAATATTGTAAAAGCTCACTTTTTTTTTTAAATCAATAAAATATAAATAATAATAACTATAATTTTTTTAATAACTATAGATTAATATTTAAGACAAAGCTCAGTGATTTTGCAGATCTTGACAGGATGGTTCATAGTGGACTTTAGGTGGTAAAATGTGATACTGACATGGGCAGATGTCTTGAGAGACAATCATGTTATGGGTGCTACTGATGAAATCGAGGGTGTCTTTTTGTGAAAAAGTGGGTTCAAGAAATTTCTGAAAACAACTTTGATTAAATTAACTTCACCAGGAAGTAATTTATCTACATTCTGGCTGCACAGGAAGCTGAAAGAAAAAAATAGACCTCGCTAAGTGACTAAAGTAAAAGAAGAAGCCAAATGATGGTCAAACAAAAGAATAAATCCCTTGACTCCCCAGACTCAGATGAAGCACTTCTCCTCTGTGTTTGTAGGCGTGATCTTTGCCAGTGTCAGCGCTGGACTGGGAGAACTGTCCTTCCTCTCTCTCACTGTGTACTTCAACAGGTAAACGCTCAGTGTTTTCGTTTTTCCCTGTTTAACCTCACTGAACATTCTCCACGCCGAACATCAGCACATGACATTACTAGCATCTGTCTGCTTTTTTGTTTGTTCAGACAAAGTTGTGTTCTTGCGTTCTCATGCGGTTGTGTGGAAACCTATTTCTGCCAGAAAGAAAGAAAGAAAGGAAACAAATAGTACGACATCAGAAAACTTTGTTACAATTGGTCAATATACAAAAAAAGAGATAATATGACTGAAAGCAGAGCCTAAAATGTAATAATAGTCAGAATAAATGCAATAAAAGTAATAATAAAAGTGTAAATGTTCAAATATAGTTTACTATAAATGGCAAACTATCATGTGCAAAGGTGAGCTAAATGTAAAGTACTGATGGGGATGAACAGAAGCTATAGTCGAGTATTTTTGCAGTAATTTTCATGTTAAATGACAGTAATTGCAGTTTAAGCTGTACAAACTGTTGGGAATGTTGTCAGAACTAAAAATGCTAAGTCAAAAAAACATTGGATAAGAAAAAATGAATCTAAATCTAACAAAGTATGGTACATTTTTGTTATATTACGACATTTCCCCTCCATTTTTTTAATAATCTGCCATAATAGAAACTTCATTTTGGGAAACTTTTAGGAAAATCTGACTTTCATTCATTCCTGTCTTTCAGACTTTTGCTTGTAAATATGATGTTGTCTGCCTCTAAATCCCCTGATTTCAATGCATCTGTAACCAGGAAGCATCAAACAGCCTCTCCTTGCAACAGAATTTCCTTTTTTTTTCTCAGCTCGAACTATCCAGCAAACTTTAAAAGTTGATTTGAAACCCAAGAAATAGTCAGAAATGATGCAAAGTAGCTGCTGATGGTCAAACAAACCAGGTGCATGCATGTGTGTCTGTATCTCGCAGGTGTTTTTTTTTTTGCAAATATATTAAGTTTGAGTTGTTAATGCTGGTTTTCCCACCTGCCTCAGGGATGTACTGGAAGGTTGGGGCTCAGGTACGGGTGGCGCTGGTGTTGCTGGTGCCCTCCTCTACTCAGGTCTCATCCAAGCCGGCCTCTCGCCCCAGATTACACTTCTCATCATGCTGGTTGTCCCGGTTGCTATGGTGGTGAGGTAAGAGTAGAGGATAAAAAATAAGAAAAATACTTTGTGGTTTTGTCAGTCAATCTGTATTTAAGAAATGAGTCCAAAGACTGTTAAAATAGCTGTCAGCAGTCACTTTAACTGTCTGTAATATGATCCAACTTCTGCCTCACGTGATGTTTAAAGGCACGCAGAAACAATGTGCGAAACAAGTGTAGCAGAAGATGGTTCGTAAAATGTCAAAAAACTGAAAAAGAAAGGTCATAGTTGTTGTTTTTTTCCTGTGTACGAGCAAAGTACAGACATCAAGTTGTTCTATTTACAGCTCGAGCACATTATTTAATGCCTTCATGCTTGTTTACTGCACGCGTATTCACATTTTTCTTTGATGCACCTAAAATCTTTCTTAAATTTTACAATGTCATTAGCCTCCAGCATGAATCCGAGGTGTTGTTGAGATGTATTGCAGGGTGGGTTAGGAAGGACAAAGATCTGGTATACACATCAAAATGATCTTTTACCTTCTTTTGTGAAAAACTTGGGCTCATTGGGTCACTCAAATGGAGAAACATGCCAAGGTTTGAGGTCAATAGTTCTACAACTTGGAGCCTTCTGACACAGTGAAAGAAGTGCTGCTTTATTGTGAGAAGTTGAGGAGACACCATCTCGTGATGTGTAGGTTCTGGGGTGTCGGTCCTCCATGTGAGCGATTTGACTGTCAACAAAGAGTCGCTTAGCAAAAGGTTTAACAATTTACAAAAAACAGAATCTAATTCCTTGTTCGTGTGAATCTGCATGGCCAATAAAGGTTCACTTTCATTCAATTTAGGCCATAAGCTCGCTCTCAGAAAGTGACTTCCGTTCCGGTATCCTGGGAAATACTTTGAATTGTGGTTTTTATCAAGTAAAATAGTTTAACTTATTCCACAAAAAGTTCCACAAGCAGGCTCCCTGCAATTTTTGAGTCATCGTCTTCCAAAGTTGGAAAATTCATGAGAAATTGGACATTTTAACCTCTAATAGCATTTTTCACTCCAATTGTCTCAGAAAGTAATAAGGCCATACACTTCAAACTTGACACTTATATAAACAGTCCCAAAAATGTTCAATATGTGGAATATTAAGTAGATAGCAGTGCTGTTTGTGAAGAAAAATTATTTCAAAAAAGTCTGAATTTCAAAAAACTCTCCTTTTGAAACAAGCACACAAGGGGACCTGATTCTTCACATACAACATTTTGGATTACATTTTATGACCAAAAAAGAATAACAAATTGCTCCAAATATGTTCCAAAAATTCTTTAATTATTCAAGTTGAAAAACAAAACATATTTATCCAGACAATAAATCATAGATATTTATAATCATATCAAATATTAGTTAAGCATGTTACAGTTAGTTCACTGAGGGTGGGCTTTACTTCCAATACTAATAAAATGATTTTTCCTTATTCCTCTCCCATTTTTTATTTTTTATTTTTTGCTTATCCCAACACCACCACCACCAGCTATTTCTTCCTGCTGGTTCCTCCACCTTCATTTCCTCAGTGGAGGAGCAGCGATGCTGAATATACACCTGTGACCTCAGAGGACAGACGGCAGCTGCTGGATGATTCAGAAGAAGGTGAGCAGGTGAAGTCAACCACAGGTAAATGTCACAAACTCAGACGAGCCATTGCGAACAATAAGATAAGACGTGCCTTTATTTATCTCACAATGATGTCAGTACACACAGAGATACACACAAATGTACATATAAGAAATAGTATAAGTATAAAAATATGCATAGAAAAAAGAGTAGTGCAAGCACAGAATATAAAAATGAGGATATACAAGATATAGAAAATAAAGATCTAATAATAATAAACAGACAAATACGACCAGATCCAGTAACAGTTTTACATCAGCAGCAATACGTGTGTTTGGAAGAAGTTGCTATAATCTAACATGAAAATACGTAAAATATGCTTCAGTTGTTCTTTTTAGGATTTTAGTTTCAAGCTGATAAAGTAAAGCTTTTGTTTCATGTTATAGAGGCAGTTTTATTTAAGCGAGTCATTGCTTGAAACCAGCAGGGCTTGTTAGCACTTGTCACCTCGGCTGTTTTATCTCGGGTTTGTTCGTGGAAACTGTGCGTCACTCACATTAGCATTGGAGGCGATAAAATAATCTGTGCGTATATCTCTGCTTATCGGTGAGAGCTGTTTCGAGAGCCATTTTGTTCACTCTACGCAGCGCTAGCATTTAAAAATAGTGCATTTTTTTCTTAATAATGTTCAACACAAACATGTACCCAGTGACTTGATTGTTTTTAAGATAGTTAAGTTAGTCTTTGTCTCTTGCTGTTAGTCTTTTTAAGTTGTGCTTGGCTACACTGAATAAGATACTATAGGTGTACCTCTTAAATAATTTACTATTCCTCTAAACCAGTGGTTCTCAAACTGGGGGTCGGGACCCCAATGGGGGTCCCAAGATAATTTCAGGGGGTCGCCAGATCATTGTAGAAAAAAATAAATAAATTAAAGCCTACATTTATCAAATAAATTTGGATTGGGGCTGTCAAAATTAAAAGCCTTCCCACTCCTTTGTCTAACTTAATATTATGATTTGATTATGCGATGTTATTGTTCTTTTTTGCTCTTTTAAAAAAAATTTATTTTGTTTTTATATTTTTTTCCCTTCTATTTGTTCGAAATAAATTCAATTCACTCATTTAGTCAACAGAAAATTAACGTGTTAATGTAAAGAGATTAATCTGTGGAATTAACACATTAGTTTTTAACGCATTGATGCATGAACAACAAAGTTATTACTCATGATATATTAAGAATTCAAATTAGGGGGGTCACGAACACAAACTATCTTGGGGGTTGTGGCTCAAAAAGTTTGAGAACCACTGCTCTAAACCTCCATCCGCTAATGATGTTGGACCACTTAGGTGAAATGAAATTAACTGTGAGCACTTAACGAATTAAGGCCGAGAGGCTCCGAGCCAGAAAAACCAAAGACTGAAAAAGGTTCAAGGCTCCCGAGAGTCGAGAGTTTTTTTTTTTTGTTCTGCAAATCTTCTGCAGAAGCACTTAATCAGAATTTTTTAAGGTTGTGCACAACATTTAAATCCTGGAGGATGTGCTGTGAAGTCAGACTAGTGGGTTGCTGAACCGCGAACCTGAACCAGAGGAGGTTCTGTTTAGAGTTTGGGATTTAAGTCACCGCCTCCCTTCCACCTTTTTTTTTTCCCCCTAACAATTCTCTTTGAGCGAATCTCAACTGAGGCTATTTATTATATCTGCAAACCTGTTTAGCTGTTCGGTCGTAATCCCACTGAACGAAGCGGTGCAGTTTCAACCTCCATGTATTCAGCTGGTGATGCAGAAGATGTTTAAATGCGTTTTTCTGCTTGAGTCCGATTTACACTGCCGATCCCGCAGCTAGCAGAGCACATATCAGATCATCAGTTATTCTATTAGTACTTATTACAGAGATCATTCAATCAATAACGTTTCATACTAATTTTGCCAAAGACGTAGGTGGTGTTCTTTGTTGTGGGACAGCGTCAGATCTAAATGCGCTTTTTGATTATCATGTTTAATTGTATGAAGTTTAACAGTTATAAAAAGCGACTTAATAACCACCATTGTGACACCAGTTATCTCTGATTGGAGTTTTAGGTTTTGTTAAGCCGACTAATGCAAAGAAAGCCTGGATATGTTGCTTCATAATACACTTCTCTGGTCTGTATAGAAACACATGGTGGGTATTAGATTTTACCTCACATGGACAATCAGGTGACCACAGTACCATCACGGCTGCTTTTTGCAAAATTTGAAGAACCCGTAGCGACTCCTCCACAATGAAGCCTCATTTTTTCTCAGTAGACACAGACAGAAGGCTGCCGATTTCTTCTCCCACTGTGGAAAAGAGTTGATCTGAATAAATTAACAACATTGACCGTGCTATCTTTACCTTTAATGTATCAGAAAACAGGACCGCCGGCTCTCTCACCTTCCCAGAGAAACTGCTTGTCATCAAAGTAAGTGCACTCTTCATTTAACATGAATATCAACATTTTTTCTAGTCAATCTTTAACTGCATTTTCATTTCTGCGAGCAGGGCTTACTGAAGTTTGTGTTCCCCCTGGGACTGGTCTACTTTGCGGAGTACTTCATCAACCAGGGCTTGGTGAGTTCTCTGCTGCCCTCTGGCGTCACTTTCATCTTACTGCAAGTCAAACTAAACTCCCCTGTGGAGTGTGCAAAGTACAATATACAGAGTCCATTTAAACATTAGAAAATGCAGTAGGATTTTATGATAATAATGTCGATCTTTCCTGTTCTAGATGGAGCTCCTGTTTTTCCACAACTCTGTCCTGTCACATGCGGCGCAGTATCGCTGGTCAGTCAACCATATTCAATAGTATTCTGAAGCTGTTACTTCATTTAGATTTCTTTGCAGGTATAGACTTCTGTTTGGTTACTGTTCTGTGTGTTCAGGTACCAGACGCTCTACCAGGTCGGTGTGTTCTTGTCTCGGTCCTCCCTGCGCTGTGTAAAGATCAGGAAGCTGTGGGCTCTCTCTCTGCTACAGGTGAGGGATGGAGAATCCTGTACATCCATCCATTATCTATACACCACTTAATCCTCACGAGGGTCGCAGCCACACATGAGCCACTGGGAGTCTATCCCAGCTGACTTAGGGTGAACCAAGCACACTCACATTCACACCTAGGGACAATTTAGAATCACCAATTAACCTCAACATGGTTTTGGACTGTGTGGGAGGAAGCCGGAGAACCTGGAGAGAACCCACGCTGCACGGGGAGAACATGCAGACTCCACGCAGAAAGATCCTGGGTGTCCTCACCGGGACACGAACCGGTGACCTTGCTGTGAGGCGACGGTGCTAACCACCGATCCACCTTGCAGCCCAAATCCTGTACAAATCAGCAGAAAATAGTTATGTCATAAGGTTTTCTGCAAATATAAGGCTTTCTTGCTTACATTTTATTAAAAAATGATAAGAATCTGACCATTTATATTAAACATATTTGCAAAATGTTCATTTCCAACACCATGGTTAGATATTTCTTTAATTTTTGCACGTGGAAATTTAATAATGAGTTGTATTGTGTGAGACGCGAGCAAACATCCTGCTCGTCAGACAAGACAGTGACATGAGACTGAATATGATAGATTGGATCACACTGTTTTAATAAGTTCACTATTAATTATTCTTGAGGCTATACTTGACTGTCCGGCACTGAAACAAAGTTAGAAATGGCTGAAAATGATTTTTGCAGACAGTCTTCCCTCTGTTATTGGCGAGTGTACTAAAAGTAAGATTCAAATTCCTCTTCACAGTCAGGCTCACAGTCTGGTTCATCGACCGCTATATACAGTCTTAGATCTCTGGCGTTACTCGTAGCTTGTGTTCCGATTGGCTGAAGGTGAGCAAGGGTTGCGGCTCCAGCCAATCAAAGTAGATAGACTCCAGTCCCCCACGACCCCAGTGAGGATTAAGTGGTGTATACATAATGGATGGATGAATTTATAGGATTTTTGAATAGAAATAGATCTGAGAAAGCTGAAAAATATGAACAGCGGAGAAGTACCTAGATGATTAAAAAACATTTTATCCTACCTGTGCAAACAAGTAGCTCAACAAGTCACTTTTGCGTGCAATAAGTTTGTGCCTTGTATGAAAGCCCTGTTTTCTCTCCCCGCTCCTCTAAAGGTGGTGAACGCAGTGTTCCTCCTGTTCGCTGTACGCTACCAGTTCCTGCCCAACGCCTGGCTGGTGTTTGCTATCATCCTCTATGAGGGTCTGCTGGGTGGAGCCGCATATGTCAACACCTTCTTTTTCATCAGCAAGGAGGTAAAATTACTGTTACGTCAGCTGGTTTGCTGTTCAGAGTTATTAAAAGCAGCTGTTTTGCCGTCAGTCTTTTCTCCACGTTGCCTCGATAAAGTTAGAATAACTTGTATTACTCAGTTTTTCCGGTGCCTTTTCACCTGGACTTCATTGACAGTAGATGAATAGCCTTCAGCTTAAAGCATCAATGTGCTCAAGTGCTTCCTCTGTGAGCCACGAGCATCACTGCTCTTGTTGAATGGCAACAGACAAGATACATAATCATATCCAAAATATGAACTCCTTGACTGTAAGCATTTCCTGTTCATAAAGATGTAGATAGATTTGTTAAAAAATGACTTGAGGTCTTGAGCCAGTTAACAGATAATGTTGGTTTTATTTAAGGAAATATGAATACTAAACAGAAAACATAAATAAGTCACATAAATTGCTTGTCAACATCAAATAAATTAATGGATATTTCACTAAAGTGCCAAGGCCCAGCTTTAAATTTAGCAAGTTTATGTCAATACAGCAACAACTGTTTGCTCTTTGAGTTGCAGGTGTTTGTTAGTCGACAGTAAGCGGTTAATGCGTGT